TATGCATCATAAATTACCTATATAAAATGTACATTTTTATTGCATATTTTTCGCTGCATATTTAGTTCGTTCATGATGCATATTTAGTTCATAACAGATGCATATTTAGTTCATAAGAGGTGCATACTTAGTAAATATTATTGGTGCATATTTAGTTTATAAGGACTGCATGTGTAATTCATATCCCATGCATATTTAGTTCATATTGAATGCATGGTACTGGATGCATATTTACTTCATACATATGATGCATATTAGGGGTCAACGGGTCAACGCCGGAAGTCAACGGTCAACGTCGAAAGTCAACAGTCAACGCCGGAAGTCAACGGTCAACGCCGGAGCCAACTAATAATTATTTTATTATTTAATTAATATATATTTTAAGAAGTGGACTCATTTTAAGGAGTGTACTCATTTTAAAGAGTGTACTCATTGGATCATCCCCTATATATATATATATATATATATATATATATATATATACACACATTGTACTTTATATAGCAATTCGTTGCACCTTATAACACATGATGTTGCACCGTATAAAACAACACGTTGCAATTACCAAAAAATACGATACTAATAATATTTTTTTTGGTTCGATTAATATTTGTTTGCCATTTAAAAAATACGGTAAATACGATGAACCTTGTAGCGAAATTAACCTAACCCGCCAAACTATGTAAAAATATTATTTTTTTATATTTTATATAAAATATTATTTTTTTCAATAAAAAATAAATAAAATGTTAGAAAAAATTAAGTATTGCACTATATATATATATATATATATATATATATATATTCACATATATATTAATACATTGCACTTTATACAACAATTCGCTGCACCTTATAACACAGGATGTTGCACCGTATAAAACAACACGTTGCAAATACCAAAAATTACGATAACAATAATATTTTTTGGTTCGATTATTATTTTTTTGCCATTTAAAAAACACGTTATATAGGTTGAACCTTACATCGGAATTAACCAAACCGACCAAACTATGCAAAAATATTATATTTCTATATTTTATATAAATATTATTTTTTCAATAAAAAATAAATACAATGTTAGAAAAAAATTAAGTATTGCATTAATATCAATACATTGAACTTTATACAGCAATTCGTTGCACCTTATAACACATGATGTTGCATAGTATAATTATAAAAAAATTTGGTTCGATTAATATGTTTTGTCATTTAAAAAAATACGGTAAATACGTTGCACCTTATAAAGTAAAAATAACCGGATCGATCAAACTATAAAAAAGTATTATTTTTTTTTATTTTATATAAAATATTATTTTTTTTCAATAAAAAATAACTAGATTCCAAATTATTCAATTATAATTTATTTGTATGTTTTTAATAAGGGTTATGCTACATAGCCAACCTCCATTACAACTTGGTTTACAACCAAGTGTAATGGAGGCATTAAAAAAGTATTTTTTATATTTTTTTAATGCCTCCATTACACTTGGTTGTAAACCAAGTTGTAATGGAGGTTGGTTAAGTAGCATAATTCTTTTAATAATACTTGGAATTGATGTTAATCAATTAATAGTAATAATGCTTGGAATTAATGTCAACAATTAATAGGGCTATGTCTAGGAAACTATAACCTCATTGAATACAGAATTAATACATGAATTCAATTGGACTATATTTATGAAATCCTGAAATTGCTATTAAGTCTTTAAGAAATGTCAAAATTTTAAAATCAAGTCCAAAAACTAAATCCTATCTTCTAATTCTACATCAACCAATTTCAGCCCAAAAACCCGTTCATATTCAGCTGCGCCGCCGCCGTCCTCGTCACCAAACGCCGTCGTCGTCATATTCATCACCAAACGCCGTTGCGCCGGCCAATAGATACCGACGACGTCCTCAGTCCAGGTAACCAAAAATAAAAAAAAGCAACAAACAGGACGATGGACGGCAAAGGCTGGAAGCGGTGGTTTGGATGGAAGCGACGCCGCGACGTTGCCGCTGTCGGAGTGGTGATGGAGGCGCGCGAGATATCAAGCCGATTTGTACAGTGGCGGTGGCGGGATGCTGTTGTTGGGCTAAGAATGGCGACAACGACAGAGAAAGGGTGCGAAGGCGGGCCGGAAAACGACGACAACGAGGTGAGAGGAGGCGACGAC